TCGTTGAGTTCCTCAAAGCGAACTTTGGTGTGTCTTGAGATGAAAGTGAAGGTCAAAGAAGAACCGTGAGCTTATCTTACAAATAAATCCCCTCAGTGGTTGATATTTCAGATCTGACCCCCCTTCATGCTGGTTTCCAGCTGTCAGACCACTTGGTTTGGGATTCAGTGCAACATGCAGAGAACCGCCATCTGCTCAGCTTTACTTCTCATGATGCACTACCCGCCATCCCACACTTAAAACTGACCAAACTCCATCTGTGCGGGACAGCTGACATTTATCACGACATATAGATATTTGATATATAACAAACTTTAAGATGATGTATTATTCTCTTATAGAGCACATTATCTTAGTTGTTTTGTTCTGAGGTTATTTTCATTTTAAGTCTCAAAAGGTATGGAGACATGTTTGACAATCAGTAGAGCTATGAAGAACAGACATTATTTGCATAAATTGGAAGTTGTTTTTTATGTAAATTCAGATTGTGTGAATGGTCAGTCAACTTGTCATAGTGTATCCATCTTCTGCTGTCAATAGAAACTGAATATGATCCATTGACTTGACATCAGTCAATGGATCAAGGGTGTCTGTACCATAAGCATCCCATGTAGCAGCTCTTGGTCTCTTACTGCAGCAGTCTGGACACTAAAAGCTTTAACAATCAAGACAGAATAATCAGCAGCCCTACCAAAGAACAGATGTATTAAAAATGCAAGTTCATGAATAGATCTGGGTGACATTTAGAGTTCATCACCACCCTGGTCTGCTGTGGCTTACTCTGTCCAGGTGGGACTGTCGTCGCCGCTCTGAAAAGGTTGAGAACCGCTGATCTACCAGCCTCAAGATCAATGAAAACTGTCAGACTCATTCATGCTTGGGTAAATTGATTTCCAGCTGGACACAGTTTTTGCAATTGCAGGGGCAACAAATTAGTTGAATTCAGTGAGTCTGGGCAATCAGCCAGGAACCAGCAACGCAAAACACAATGCAGAAATTCCACCGAGCAGTCAAACAAGCGAAAACATGCATCTGCATTGACACGATAATTGCCTTCTCAGATTTAAACAATTACAGCCATTTCCACAGAACTGCTCTCCCAGAATACATTGGCACATTTGTATTTATAGGTGTGTTTTTTTGCAGTCCAAGTAGGTGTATTGAGTCTGAGCTGAATGTGATTATGAATGAAGATAATCTGTCGGTTTGGTGACTTAATGAACTGTGACAGGACTTTGCTGATGATGAGGTGATGCGACTCTGACAGGGCAGATGGAGAGAGGAGATGATGGATGAAGGGGAGGACGTGCAAAAAAAAAAAAGAGGAGAATAGTTCACCGGTAGGAGAAAAGAAGAGGAGAAGAAAGGGTAGGAATTTAAAGGAGATAATTGGAGAGATGGGAAACCAGACAGGGCAAGAGAGGAGGGAAGAGCAGAGTAATTAAGAGCAGAGGAAAGTGATTGAAAAGGGAGAAAAGAGAGGAGACTGAGAGGAGTAGAGGAATGGTGAGGAGAAAAGTCCAAGGGAATGAATCAAATGGAAAGGACAAGAAAGGCTAGATAGAGGAGAGAGAAGGAGAATTAGAAAGGCGGGAGATGAATTGACATGAGAGTTAAGACGATGGGGTAGCCGACGGAAAGGGAGAGGGGGTAGAAAAGGAGATAAGAGCGGACAGGAGGGGGAGATCAGATGAATGAGGAGGCGACGGGAAGAATAAATGAGATTGGTGAACAATTCATCCAGTTTTCCACCTCCGATCGTTAGATTTTCACTCAGGGATTCCAGGGATCTACTTCCAGATGGATGGAAAAGCAGGAAACGAATGACTACGTTTTTGACTGATTTGTATAGGACAGCTTAATGGAGCTAAAGGGAATGACAGAATGTGTCTGCTTATGTATTGATTTATAACGATGGCAATGTTAATTTGTCATTGTGACAAGTGATGGGCTCTGGAGCTTGACTGTGACCGGATGATCGGAGGCTGCACATTTAGATGCTCAGGTAACAGAAAATGATCTTGGATGGAGATAAAGATAATTGACTTGCCAGCCCCACCCTCCCCGTCTTGTTTGTTTGCTTTTTTTTTGCTTCTTGACCCAACATAATTTTTTTTATACTCTTTCCTCCTAAAAAGTTGGGAATTTTTTAATATGTCCATCCAAACTTCCCCACTACTAGATATGATTAAAATATAGAAACGGTTCCTGGGAAAGTCACAGAAACAAAGGCAGGAGCAGCTTGACATTAAGAACCAAACAAAGGTTTTCCTCGCTAACAATAACCTCCTATCACACCTTTCTGACGATGGATTAGTTGGAGCTGTGTCCATCAACTTCTGTAAGTTCTGTGAACAATATGGCAACAATATTCTATGATAGCCAGCTTTTCACCTTCCAGTTCCCTCCAGTGGAACAACTATAAACACTAGGGATGCGCTGATACCAGTATCAGGTCGGAGACAGTGCTGAATTGTAATCATAAAACTACTCTAATACTGCATAATCTCTTAGTTGAATAGGTGGTGGAGAAGAATTAGCAACATTTCATTTGTTACAGTCATTGTCTGAACTGTAATGGTATTATTGAGTACTCGGTATTGACAAGTACCAAAATGTTAGTGGTATGGGTGCATCCCGAATAAGGTGTTAAACATTTTGAACATGTGTGATTATATTAATCATCATCTTGATGTGGATTGTGTTAAAACTAATAATTCTTTTCACAGTCTCCATGTTTGTCACATTGAATTTTTCCTCTAACATTGTTCTGGAGAGCCGCTTCATACGCTCCACGCTCAGATGTCAGAGTTTCTCACCAGCATGTGAATGCACCGCTGCAGCACATCTTTCAAACCAATTCATGTATTCAGTTGTATAACCATTAAGCAAAAACAAAATACTGCAACATAAAACCCAACATAATGATTACTTCACTGTTGCTGTGTACACTAGGGAAACATTTTGACACCAAAACATAAAAACTACAAAATGCTGGTTTATTTAGACTTTGAGGACAGTGTTTTTTACCACAAAGGTGTAAATATGAGCTGTTGAATAAGAAACAGATTAACCTGCTTTCCATAAACATTTTCAGCATTTGGTAGCCAGTAGAGGACTGCATTGGGATTGGGATCATGCAGAAGGCAAATCTTCTGGGAGCAGGCGGTCAATAAATAAACTGCGGGATTTAGTGCTAAATGAAGATGGTCACTACAATACAAAGGCAAAGCAAGACAGTCTGACATTTGGTTACATGCAGCCGAGGAGAATGTAATTCTGCTATGTCATTACCGACAGGAATGTATCTCGATACTACACAATAAAATAACGTCCCTGCAGGCCAAAGGAAGACAAAAAATCAATGGAACTCTATTGTGTGGGCAGTAAATCCAGCAGGAGTGGGATTAAAGAAATCACGTTTATCTCCCTGCGCAGGATCTTCCCATACAAGCTCCTGTTGATCTCTGAGCTCATTAATATAGGAGCAGGGTTAAGTGCTTTCATGGCAGCTCATTTGGGCTTTCACAGAGGAGACATTAGCTCTCCACAGTCTCTCATCTGATTTGGGATTTGACCTGGTAATCATTTGACCTTTCATAACCAAGCTTCTTTATCACCAACAGTTCGGATGGGTTGGAGGTGTGATGTGAATTGATTTTCCTGGCTGGATTGTTTCAGGAGCAAAACAGCTCATCAATATTCATATATTTTCCTTACGAGTGCAAAGACAGGCTCCCATCCTGAGTGCTTTTAATGTGATATTTTCTACTTCAGATGGCTCTGTTTTCCCAGTCCCACACTGTACTCCCCCACAGGAGCAGAGTCTGGGTGCTGCTCTTTTTTCTCCTCCCCTCTCCTCTTGTCCCCCCCCACAAGTAATTTCCCCACGGGGATTATTAAAGTATTTCTGATTCTGATTCTGAGAGATAACAATAAGGAGCCTGATTGATTTTTTTCTTCAACTGTGTCTTTGAGGGGTCCTACAGTAAGTGCCCGGGTTATTTATGGGCAGCGTTGCTCTTGAAAGCTTGTAGTCCACGTCAGTCTGTGGCTACTATCAGATTTACACATCAAGTACAGTGAGTCATCAACTATAGCTTCGCTACTTTTTCATCCAGAAGTCCTTGACTGTGAGCCAAGATGGCAAATCTCCCAGCCTGCATCTGCAGAGCTGCTCCAAAAGTCTGGATTGTCACTGTTTTCAGAGACTGACGGTGACAAATATTCTGTCGGTGCTGCATTTTTCTAAAGCTACAACAACATGTCATACAGTGTTTGGTGTTTGATCGCGTGCAGCAGCCAAACACTCAAAGTGTCCTTGAGTAACACATCAAGTAATCTCTTGAAGTGGCTCAGCATGGCCGTGGCAGAAAAATGCTGATGCACAGAAAAGTTGCAGAGAACTGAGCTCTCAAGGAGTGAAACAGCTTCTCCAACCAGACCTGTCCTGCTCAAGATCTCGTAATACGGAGGAAGTGTCAAAAAACTGCAGTCTACACAGAAAGCTTTATCATCAATAAGCCGGTACTGTAGCAGTTCACTTTGACTGCTGTCAATGGACACTATGTGGAAATCTGCCTCCTATAATACAGGATAGTGGTGTATAATGTATAGTAGTATCTACAATGCAATAATATTTCTTTCTGTTTCAAAACTGTGTGTTTTACTGACATTTTAGTATTTCTTTTTAAATAAAGACCAACGTGTTTTCAACTATTTCTGCAGGAAATTAAAACTTAACTGTTAACTGAATACATTAATATATGTACAGTATATTATTATTTAGCCCTCACATGAATACATTACTAGATTATTTACGGGTAATCTTGAATATAAGAAAATAGAAGAAGTTCATAGAGACATTACCTCCAGAAAAATTGAATAAAGTTTGGTAATACACTTCCATCACCATTCAGGTCGCTACTACATAGATTATGTTAACAGCTTTTAACTCTCATTCTGTCAGATATTCTCCTCCATAGCTGATAACCCTTTACCTGCTTTCCTGAGTTTCCTGTTCCTGAACACGGACACGATGACCAGCAGGTTCCCGATAACATCCACCACGATGGTCGTGATCAGGACGCCGGCCAGCAGGGTCACCACCCAGGGGAAGGACTGGTGCTGCTGACCCGGAGCCCCCTCCTCCCCTGCCGGCGTGGAGTTGCGGGGCACCAGGGTCCCTTCCACCATGGTGGGCTCATGGTCCTCCAGAGACATCAGTTGCGGGAGGTGCCTCGGGTCAACGAGTCCCATCGGGTCGTGGTCGAGGAAGGTCGGTCCATTCAGCATAACGCACGGCGGTCCAGAGACGCTGGAAGTCAGTCAGAGTTGGGCTGCTGATAGAAAGTCCCTGTGTACACTGACGTCATTAAAAATGCTTGACGACATGAACAGTTTGTGTTTTCATTTGAGTGACCAGGAGCACTGATATCTAATGCTTATTAACCTAATGTAGAATGTACAGACCTGCCAGCAGCCACAGCAACTGCACTGAACTGATGGATGAGAACTGCAGACCTGACAGAGATCTGAGCCGCGACACTTGATACAAACTTTCTCTAAATCTCCTCAGTGTGTTCGCGCTGATAGAAAAGCATCAACCTGCTGCGAGTCACCATCACAAGGAATCTAACAACGGACACACACTAAATAAATCCTCTTCATGTACTAACTTATATTCCAGCAATTAATGAGAAAACTTTGTTTCATCAGTTGGTGGTTTGATTCCTGGTTTTAGGGGATGCTGCAGCCCCCTCAGCATCCCTACTCCCTGCGTCCATGCGGCTGTCAGTCTAGGAGCACCGGGGAACTGTGCGCGTCGTTGCGCTCTATGGCACCGGAGCGACGTGTCCTCTATGCGCCCCAGCCTCCAAACATGCCACGAGTAAAACTAGTAGAGTTTTATCAATGACTAGTCCCGCTGTCTACCTGTGTAGGTTGTTTAATCTGGCCATTCACGGTCAAGGTTTCCTCAGTGATCAACAGTCAGAGAGAGAAAACGCAATAAAAGTCTTTTAAATGCAAGCAGGCGGTTTCCAGTCCGTCATTCAGTTCCCATTTCAACTGGAAGAAACTGCCGGTCAGCCGCTGCTTTTCTGTCATCCGAGTCCTTTCCACTCTGAGGGTTCATTCACAAATCCGCTCCGTTAGTCATGAGTCCCGCTTCATTCAGTTCCAGGATCCGGTCTGTCTGCCATTCAGAGTCTGAGTCCTTGTACGAGCCTTATAGCGCCAACAAGGATGCTCTCTCTCTCTCTCTCTCTCTCTCTCTCTCTCTCTCTCTCTCTCTCTCTCTCTCTCTCTCTCTCTCCTGTGCTGTGGTTGTGAGTGTGTGCGTGTTTTCTGTGTCACACACACACTCTTCATATGCTCCACCAGTGATGCGCTCTCTTCATGTCTTTTCCTCTGTTCTGGACTTTTTCACTTTCTGTCTATTATTCTCCTCCTGTGCTGTTTGTCCCTTTTTTCCCCCCCAACCCCAATCTGTTCATGTGTCCAGGGTTTCACCTGTACGCAGAACGGTTTCATTTGATCCACAGTGATGCTCTCTCCCGCTCAGCTTCTTATCGCCTCTTCCAGATGAGGTTGCGCGTGCCCTCACGCACCTCTCGGGTGCGCGCCTCACGGGTTCACGTCACTCTGTCCTGTGGAGGAACTCGTAGTCCATCTCTGATTCTCAGCAGTGAACTAACCTCGACCCCTTTTTCCTTATCGCCTATGTTTTATTCCCTTTAACGTGCCCATTAACGGAACTGCCGCCCTATTCAGACTTCAGCTCTAATGTGCGATCTCTATTAACCTAAATACATTCACTATATGAATATCATGGGTATTCTTTTGTGCTAAGTGCCCATGATATATATGATTTAAAATATCATAAATTAACAAAAGGCAACAGTAAACTCACTGCGCAGTGCCCCAGACACATTATGCAGCTGTATCAGGTAATAACACTAGTGAGGATATTTAACTGCTGGATGCCAGCCAGTCAGTTAATGGTAGATAAAAAAAAAATGGCAGAGCTATTATTTAAAAATCCCCTTCACAGTTATTGCCTTTTTGAATTTGCCTTATGACCATTCATAATGGACGAGTCCCCAGTCCAATACTTATATCATTCTTCATTAATCATTTCCACAACTTCGAAAGATTTCACACAACGGAAACAATGCCAAGTTTGGATGCTACAGTGCTACATGACAGGGGGCACAGGGCCACCCCATCTCTGTGTAAAAGTGACAGAAAGTTAGACGACAAGGCATTACATTTGGTCTAACTTAGGCAATTATGGGACTCATATTTATGCAGCCACAACAAGAAACATCTTTTTTTTCTCTCAGAGGGGCAGCTCAGCCATTGAGGTCAAATGAGCCAATTCTATGTGAGAAAGCGTGAGGGCTGAGTTCTCAAAACAGTGGGCTCAGAAACCAGAAAAGCAAACTTCAGGACTTTATCACATTGATGTCAGTGAAGTATGTGGAGCTGAGTCACTGGTGTTTTTCCTGTACTTCATAACTCCAAATTTGTGCATAACTCCCCACTAGAGAATACAAATATGTCAAAATTGAATTTGGGCACTTAAACAGTAAGTTGGATGTCTTGTTATAGTGAAACATGATGTATCAGGCACAACTATTGCTCAATTTTGATGAAACTAGGAGGGATGATACATTTTGGCACCATGTTCAAGGTTATCTTTAAATATCATTTTAATTGGCCTGATGAGGGCGCTGTAATTAAAGGTCAGAATCATTCTTCCGATCTCCAACTGACACTGGAATTTCTGCACACATACATTTGTCTTTACAATTTGCATTGTTTAGTTATTTTTATTTATTAATCACTTTTTATTGCCAATGTGTGAACGGGTTGTAACGTAACTTAAATCATGAGACCTTCCCTGACTTTCTCGGTTGCCTGTGGACAGATTATATCATAGCGTTTCTATGTAGCGATGTGGGTCGGACTTCCAGAAAAATCCAGTTTGTGATGCGTTCCCGAGTGCCCTCTCTCGCCACTTCACTACAGTGTCAACAATGTGCAACACTACCTAACGTGAGCTTATCAATGGAGTCCGCTAACGTCCCCAACCGACACCCACCACAACACCAAGTCCAAAGTCAAAGCCAACATTACTGCAAAGCTTGTGAAATGTGATATTGTGGTTTTAGCTGGTTAACATTACCTTGATTGCTAACACTTGAGTGGCCACCTTCAGTGTGGAAAGATAAGGGACACCTTGGCAGCGGCCCAATGCCGTGGGGGATGCTAATCAAGCGGGGGATCTGGGGTTCCTCTGTGGGAGCGTCAGACACTTTATTCCCTCCTTTCTGGTGATGATTTTATTCACCAGGTTGTACTTTTTATGCATCAATTTAAAAGTCCTCTGCTACTCTCAACAAGAAAGTAAATTAAATAAAGAGTCAATAGAGTGAGGCGCAGTTTCATCAATTATAAGAAGGTTCAAAAGATCACATCAGAGACATGAGCAAAATGTATGGTCTGTCAAATTAAAATAAATTCCTTACTTAACTGTGAAACTGATCAGCTCTCCTGGATTCCTGGATATAGGCACTGAAATAAAGAGGAACCGGTTCCAGAGTGAGGGAAATGTGGAGAAACAATAAAGGTAATATAACTAGGTTGAGTGAATTTATACTGTATATCGGCCTATATATAAAATTAATGTAATTTTAACCTTGAGGTAGCATAGCCTTTGGAAGATTAATTTGGATGTGGATTATTAGTTTAAGGTCTCTCTATCTAACGCACACACGCTCTTATGCACAGAGGGGGCGGGTGACTCTAATCGACTGACTGTATGTCAGTGCTTTAAACACAGTACAATCTAATAACAACTGTACAGTTCTGGGGTTTTTTGAATTGAGTTCTAGACTCTACTCTGGTGCTGCTCGGATGTAGTAGTCCTCTGCTGAATGTTGCTTCAGGTCGCACAGTCTACCAGACGATACTCAATTAATCCCCATTCCCACTGACAGGACTGATCCACTTGTGGTCCATCTGCCATTCAGATCTGTATTTGGACAGCCTCTTACTTTTTACAGCCGACTTGAGCTGGAGGTATTCGCCGAAACAAACCTATTGGTTTTATTATTTCTTATGTTATCCAAGGCAGGTTAAAACACGTTGTATTTTTCAATATGAGATGATCCCACATTTATGGGCCGGGTGGCAACCCTCCCTAACGTGGACACATTTCTGGTTTGGTGATGTTGGCTGATGGGGGGATTTGTAAACAGCAAGCTAGTTAGTAGCACAGAGTCAATGGTCCAAATATAATATAGGAACATTGCTGATAGTAATGCTATTCTAAATATGATACTGTTATTGCCCAGCATTGAGTCTAGTCCATGTCACTTTTTGCCCAAGCCCTGCTCACGCCTAGGGACTGTGCAGGAGTGCAAGCGTGAGCAATAAGATGCTGAGTGTACTTAATGGCCACTGGTAACAAAAGTTTTCTGAAAGTAATGAACCTTTAACAGGCATCAGGAAAATGTAACTTCACTGACTGTTTCTGGTTGAAAGTCTTGACAACCGTTGCACCTGTAGTCACACCCAACAGTGATGTCAAGCTGCACTGAACACAAAAAAAGATTTTTCAGCCGATCCGTAGTTATTCTTGAATGCTGATTCAGACGCCATTCGTCCAACTTTGATGAGACTTGCAGGAAAGATACATTCAGGCAACTTCCTCCGAACTTAAATTGAACCACAAATAGCAGCACAGGAATGGCAAACCTCACAGCAGCTCAGATTAAAACACTTCAACTCATGGTACATGATGGAGTGGATAAGGAGATGGATCTAGACCATGGGCACTGGTCCAAAACAAGAGAAGAGGGAAGAGGAAGAGAAAGGGGGGGGGGGCTGGGGTATAAAAAGACAAGACGGTGCCCAGAGAATCTGAATCATTCATTTCCACATCAAACGCAACGTTCGCCAAGTCTTTGGATTTTCATCCAAACAGGGCAAATGCTCCTCTCCCTCATCTGACATGCACTTTGTTGGTGCTTAAAACATCCGAGTCCCCTCTGTGAATAATGTGACTCAGTGTGTTAGTTGCATGTAAGCATCCAAGCACACACACACACACACACACACACACACACACACACACACACACACACACCTTTTTAAGTATATACAAATACACCTGTGCTTTATTGGGATGTTTGACCAAACAAGGCGAAGCACGCGTTATGAATGTTGATACGTTGTGAATACCCCAACACTCAACACGTGGAAAAACACTCACGCACAGAGACGCAGAAAACCTCATGTGTACAGAAAAGCACATAGAAAGAGATACAAACACACAGTGGTTGTTTTTTATTAACATATTCCATCTCCTGTGCATCATGCATAAATAAGTCTGTAATTTCAGAGCACGTTCACACTCAGCATGTTATGAGAGGTTTATTTTAGACCCTGAGGCCTTCAGTCAAAATAAGAGCACAGAAACACACCTGAAAAAGAGGAACGGATGTCTGATGATCAGCAGTTAAAAAAGTAGAAAAACTAAATCAAGCACGAAAGTCAGGACTGATTAAAAGTTCCCTTTAAGATCAAAGATCAAAAGTTATGTTTGACTTTATTTATTTTTTTAAATGTAGCAGTCACTTTATTCTTAAAAGGTACTTGACTTTCCAAAAAAAATTAACTAAATAACAAAACAGGTTGTTTGCCATTGCCTTGAAAAAATGGTACGACTGTTTTCTGATCTGACATCTTTATTAGCAGGACGGCCTTCTAAAACCATCACAAACACATCACATCACTTCTGTCTTTCAGCCAAGAGGTCACATGTCAGGAAAATGTATACGTCAGTCTTTTTAAGTGTTTGTACAAACAACCAATTAAAGCTGCACAATGAATCGAAATATTATCAAAATCACAAAATGTTCAATATCCAAATTGCAGAAGTTTTTTTTTTTTTTTAATAAAGGTTAAATGTGTGAGAAAACAGCATTAAAATGAAATAATGTAGTTCTGGAGATATACCCTGGACTACAAATCTTTTTCTCCAAAGAAGGTACAGACCCTAACAAATGTCACATCATGATGATGAGAGTTTTCTTTTTTAGTGAAAATAAAAATTGTGAATGATATCACAATATGTCAAAATATTAAAATACGTAATAATATTTTTTATTTTTTAATTTTTTTATCATATTGCGCTGCCCCACAATCAAAAACTTTGTTTTTCTGCTGAGGACGGATGAGGTCACACACCCTC